CACCTTTGTCAAATATCAGTGTATTCTTTGGTGCTTGGGTGGAATATTCGAAAGATGTCTGTTAGGTCCATTTGATGTGTGCTATCATTTAATTCAGACAGCTCTCTGTTTAGTCTTTGTCCAGTTGACCTGTCTAATGGAGACAGTGGGGTACTGAAGTCCCCTACTACTACTAAGTTGGGGTTAATCTGTGTCTTAAAAGTCCTGTAGTGTTGTTTTTATAAATTTAGGTGTACTAGAGTTTGGTGCATATATGTTAATGATTATAATACCTTCTTGGTTAATTGTTCCTTTAATCAGAATGAAATGACCCTCCTTATCTCTTCTGATTAGTTTTACTTTAAAGTCTATTTTGTCAGATATTAGAATTGCAAACCCTGCTTGTTTCTTAGTGCCATTAGCTTGGAATATTCTTTTTTTAATTTTTTTATTATTTTTATGTTTGCTGTTTGCATGTATTGCCTGAATGTAGGTAAAAGCATCTGTGTCATGCAATGCCCACAGAGGACAGAAGAGAATGTCAGATCCTCTAGGACTGGAGTTATGGACAGTTGTTAGCTGTCATGTGGGTGCTGGGATTCAAACCCAAGTCTTCTGCAAGAACAGTCAGTGTTCTTTACTGCTGTGCTATCCGGCCCCAGAATATTCTTTTCCATCCTTTCACCTTAAGGTAGTGCCTGTCCTTGAAGGTGAGATGGGTTTCTTGCAGACAGCAAAAAGATGGATTTTGTTTCTTAATCCATTCACTTACCCTGTGTCTTTTGACTGGGGAGTTCAGTCCATTGACATTTAACGTTATTATTGAAAGGTGTGTATTGGTTGCCATCATTTTGATTGCTGTTTGTGTTCTTTGTCTAATTTTGTGTTTCCACAATTATACCTTTATTTCTTTCACTGCCCTGGGGTATAGTTGTTTCCCTCTCTGCTCTCTGTATTGCTATAAGTCTTCTTTGAAGGGCTAGTTTTGTGGACATGTATTCTTTCAGAGTATTCATGTCATGGAAGATTTTTCTTTCCCCCTCAACTATAGTAGACATTTTTCTGGGCTGGCACCTATTTTCATATAGAACTGGAAATACCTTGGTCCAGGCTCTTCTGGCTTTCATAGTTTGCATTGATAAGTCAGCTGTAATTCTGATGGACTTTCCTTTGTATGTGACTTGTTGTTTTTCTTTGGCTGCTTTCAGTATTCTCTCTTTGTTCTGTACATTTAGTGTTTTTACTATGATATATCATGGGGAGTTTCTTTTCTGATCCTGTCTATTTGGTGTTCTATGTGCTTCCTGTATTTGTATGGGGATGTCTTTCCTTAATTTTGGGAAATTCTCTTCTACAATCCTGTTTAAGATGTGCTTAACACAATTAACCTGAAATTCTTCTCCTTCCTCTATGCCTATGTTACGTAGATTTGGTCTTTTCATGGTGTCCCACATCTCTTGCATATTCCATCCCTGCGTTTTTTTAAATTTTCCATAATCTTTGTTTGAGTGTTCCAATTCTTCAACTTTATCCTCCAGGGTTGATATTGTTTCCCATTTTATTCATTCTAGTGGTGAGGCTTTCCCCTGTTGTTTCAAGTTGGCTTACTGAGTTTTGCACTTCCTTCTTCATTTCTGCCTGAGTTTTCTTCAGTGTTTTGAATTCATTCAGAATTTTTTCTTTGTCTTCTTTTAGTTCTTTGATTTGTTTGTTCACATGTTCTTTAAATTCGTTGAATTCCTTGATCATGTTTATGATTGGTCTTTTAAATTCTGTGTCCTGGGTTATCTCTAGGGGGTTCTCCTTGTAGAACTCTTCTGCAGGATTGGTGGGGTTTGGTGGGGACATAGTGTTTTGGCTTTCCATTTTATTATTCTTTCATTGTGATTTTGGCATGTGAATTGCTGTTGTTGTTTGTGATTCTCATATGAGAATCAAGTTGAAGTATGCTTCTGTTTGTATTATTGGTGTGCCTTGGTCCTTTTCTTATTGGTTATGTAGAGCTGGTTGGTCCAGGTTTCAGGTTCTCTCAGGTTTTATTTTGGAGGTAACTAATGGCTTCAGCTCAGCTACTCAGGAGCACCCACAGAAGGCCAAGTTAGGTTCCAGTCAGGTACACTCAGGCTCACTTCTAAGGTTTGGATCCCTATTAGCAGGAACTCAGAACAAAATTTGGGAAGATCCCTAAGGGGGTTGGGGGTGCCGATTTTGGGACTCTCAGTAGGTCTCCTAAGTTCTCAGCCCCTATGCCAGAGGGAGGTGGGAACAGACACTCTCTGGCAGTCTGATGAGATCTTAGCCACTACACAGATGGAAGCTGCCATCCACCCTCTCAGTCCATCTGCTAAGATCTCAGCCTTATTCTACCAAAGCCAGGTCTGCCCCAGGGCCTTGGGGGGGGGCCTCATGCAATCCTAGTTAGAGGGTTTGGTACAGTGCAATTGGAGGAAGCTCAGCACCACGTAGAGGTAGGATCCAGGTGCTCTCAGGCAGTCCCCTGAGTTCTCAGCCCCTATGCCAGGGGGAGGCAGGAACAGGAACTCTCTGGTAGTCTCAGAAACTATTTTATAAGCTTCATACTTATATATTCAACTTATATATTCATAAAAAAGAATTTATGACATTCACCCTACATGGGATCATGCTCCTTCCAGAAGCTTTAGGTTGCTAAATAAAAGGCCCAGCACCAGCTGTGGGATATCTTTCTTCAAATTGTTGGTGAAGGGTGTCCCAGCCAGCCTCAAAATAATGCAGGCTATTGCCACTGCTCTTGGTTCCCCATCAGAACTTGTTGGTATGGCCCTATTGCTGAAGAGACCATACACCTTGGTCACAGGACATGGAGAAATCAAGTTGTTACTGGTCAGGATGCGTCCTCTTGGCTGGCTAGGTTTCCTAGTACAAGACAGTGCTAGGCAGGCCACTGAGGGGTGAAAGGTCATCAACACTATTACCCAGCTGTGGAATAATAGCAGGCATGGCAAGATATACCCATGGACACAGTGGAGGCATGAATGGTATGGGGGTAACCAACTGCTTTCTGATTGGATAAGTCCTGATCCAAAGAGGAGACACATGCCTGTAATCCATACTGTAAATCTAGTCAAGAACAAGGGAGCTCAAGGGCCCCAGGGGTCAACCTACTACTATTAATTTGATAAATGGACCTGCTATCAAACTGCCTCCAAAATTCTTACCTCTCTACCGATAGGTTACTACATCTCTCAGACTTCATTAGAGAAGTTTCTTTGTGCAGTGGATGGAGGTTAACACAGAAGCTCACAGCTGGTCAGAATGCTAAGAAGTAACTGTGGAATGCACCACAAATGGGACACCTCTATCACACACACACACACACACACACACACACACACACACACACACACATACACACACATATGCACACAGTGGGGAAACCATTTACAGAACCTGGAGAATAGAAAGAACTCCAACCCACACGGGTTGCATCCCAAGAAAAAGCACAGAGGAAGGACAGAGGATGGAGTGTCCCAGTGGAGAACATGGCATGTAGAAGCTCAGAAGAAGAGGCAGAAAGACTGTAAAAGCCAGAGGTTGGGGAGGTCTGGAGGGAAGCAGGGTCTTCTAGACATGACATGGCCACTACAGTCATGAACTCACAGCTGTGGTTGCCTATACAAGACCTGCACAACAAGCCAGTCAACATTCTATCATGGAGGGGGAGGGGCTTGTGAGCTCCCACCTGTAGCTGAGACACTACTGCAATTGGGATCTCCTGGGGGAGGGAGAGTCAGTCTTCTTTAAGGGTGTGGCCCAGGGTAGGCTGGCCATGCTGTGTCCCCACCACGAGTGTATGAGCCACACAGATGGACTCAGTGGGTTTTTTTTTTAAAGAACCACAAAGTTGGGAGGGTGAGTGGGTGACAGCTCTGGGAGGAGTTGGGGAGGAATGGGGGAGTAAATATGATAAAAACACATTGTATACATGTATAAAATTCTTAAAGAATCAAAACATTTTTAAGAAGGAAAAATATCCTGATTTGACTATGAAACAAAAATTTAATGGTAATTAAATCCAAATTCAGGTCTAAATAAAAAGAAAACCTGTACAAATAGACCGTCTTCAAATTTCATTTCCAACCCTCTAATTCTTTGACCTTCCTGATGGGCTACAATTTTCCCACAGGCGCGTACAGGCTGAGATCGACTTAGATTTGTAGATTAGACATAGTGGGCTGCTTAGGGTGCATTTCCAGTACCTTCTATCAAATTACCTCTAATAAGTTGAACTTTGCGAATTTCACCCTTTTCGATGAAACAAAGCTGAATTATGTGCAATAGCTGGTCCTTGAAAGTGGGAACGTGGCGAGGGAAGTGTTTGCTCTAAGCCTTGCCGTCTTGAGTGACCCAGAACTAAGCATCTGCTAGGGAAATCTTATTACTCTGTGTCTGTCACTAGGAAATTGGAACAAATGTTGAAAGACCTACACACTTAACATGCTATGATGTGTTTTTAAAACTGCCTTCTGCAGAAGGCCCTTTATTTTATTAGAAAATTATAAGCAAACAAGCCTTGTTTAATGGCTTTCAAAATATACACACATTTCATGTCAAAATTGTATCACTTTTGACTGCTTAGCTGGGTGAGAAATCTGTCAGGCCCTGGTGCCCAAGAAAACAGGGTAGAGTGCAGATTTCTTGCCGAAGGGTATAATGTATGCACAGCTACACAAATGTAGTGCAGTAGTGTCTGACACCATCTTGGGAAGAGCTGCCAGCTTCTGGCTTTGCAGACAGACTTTTCCTAATACCTGGACCTTTTGATGAATCTCTGTAACAAGCAACTGAATGCTTGGGCTTATATTTTAAGAAAGGTTGGCCTTTTATCTATTTTTCTTTTTATACATTCAGAACCTGTTGGAAAAGCTGCCTTTCCACGCTGCTGTCTATGAGCGTTCGTTCTCCTTTGCTACCAGCCTTAGCTTGTTAAATATCTCAACATAGAAGAAAACATTCATGAAGTAACAAAATTACAGCCACATTTTCTGAACAATCAGTTATTAGTTGCAATGTTATTTTACTTGCGAAATACTTTCAAGTCTATCATCTTTGAATATCAGATACATATGTGCTTAAAAATACTAGAGTGCTAACAAAATACGGTGGAAGCGTCCGAGACTTCTTCACACCCCCTTGTGCTGTTTCACACGTTTCTGATTTTTTTCATACATTTCTGATTCATACATTTCTGATAATTCTGATTTCTAAGCTAGCAGAGATCACATGCAGAGGTGTGTATTGGTTACTTCGCTGTTTCTGTGACAAAATCCCGTGACCCGGGTAACTTACAGAAGGAAGAGTTTATTGGGCTTATGGTTCCAGAAGGTTAGAGTCCATCACAGTAGGAAGCATGGTGATGGGGAGATCAGAGCAGGTTGAGCCTCACACCTTCAGCCTCACTCTGGAAGTGGAAAGGAACAAACTCAAATGGGCCAAAGCTATGAACTCTCAAAGCCCACCTCCAGTGACATGCTTCCTCCAGCAAGGCCACACCTCTCATGACGGTCTCCAAACAGCAACATTAACTGACCAAGTGATCACATACTTGGACCCTATGGGGAACATTCTCATCCACACCTCCATAGGTGGCATGTGCCAACTTTTCCATGAAAAGCTGACAGTAATTATATAATGCTTAAGATCTCTATTTTCCTCTCTCTGTTCTGCACACAAATTCCCCACCATGACAAAGATTACACATCACCACACTGCCACCTGCTGGACTTGCTCCCCTGGAACTCTTCATTACCTGCTAGGGACTTGCCTCTACGACGAATGTACGATTTTTCTCCAGCTGTGTGTTAATATTCTTTTTATCCCTTTTCCAGAAAAGTGCACTCTTACAAACCAGTTAAAAATGTTGCAATCAATTATAGTCTTCCCAAAGCCTTTCACATCATTTACGACTCCAATTGATTGTCACAGAGCCGTGAAGATATGTTAGTTTGACACAAGAAGAGGTTTAGAGAGGTTTGTACTTTGCAGAGTGCCACCTGTCTCCAAAGGGCACGTTCATTAGGAGACTGCAGTGCAAGTTTCAGGAGCAAATCAGCACAATGAAGTCCTGTAGCTTCCGGGGCACCTTGTGGTTGGTACTATTGTCTTCACGTCAGGCAGACTGTGCACCAGTGCTTGTCACCAGAAACTTGAAACACTAGCCTAGTCCTCTCTCTTTGAAGAGAGCAAAATGCCATTTACCTGTGACCAGAATCAAACAGATTATCAAATATTAAGTATTTGGGAGCCAATCTGCTTTAAGAAGTAAAGTCCAGTCAATAAACTAGGCAATGGAATGATATTTATGTAATAAACAACATTTAGTAAGTGTCACTGATAAAACTCGACCTGTCTTCTTTGTCCTCCAACTGTACAAATGCAGTTGAGACCTACGCTAAGAACCGAAGGCATTGTAAAATTCTGAGTTGTCTCCTGAATCACAGGAAAGGGAAAGAAAGCCGGCATTTGTCAAGTACCTGCCATTTGTGATCCAGTCTCATGAGCGCTATCATGTCTTCGACAGACAGACTTTACTCTCCGACCACTGGCCGTGGCTGAGGCTCAGGGCAATACTGAGAGCTCCCCCAGATTGACTGCTGCCTGTGCTGCTGCAGACTTTACTAGTTTGAGGGACTGCTGCAGTGAACCCTCAAATCACAGCAGGGAGAAGATGCCAGCCACATGTGCATTGTACAGCAGGTCCTCCCTCCCCAGACAATAAATAACCTGCTCAGGGTCTCTCAAGCAATAGGCAATGCCTCCCAGGTTTGAACCCAGAAAGATTGGCACTAGTGTCTGTACCTGTTAAGACAATCATTAAGCTGTTTGTGGGGGGTGGGGGGGATGTAGCACTAAATGTGTAACATCTTATTTTGGTTTTGGAAACAGGTCATTGTGTGTGTGCTGTAAGGAACTGTACGTGCATAATCCATTTAACATGTACACACATATGGTAGTGACAGCAGTCATGACGGTAAGGGCTTTCAAATGCTGTGCCTGCTGGCCACATGAGACTTCCAGGTGGCACCTTGACTAAGGCTGCAAGGCCATCAGGGTGCAGAGGGACCTCTGGTTCCAGAGCCTCATTATTTTATAAAGCATCCGTCACAACCAACCGTTTTGTTGCATACCAAGTAGTTCGGCACATTCGGAAGAGAGAGGAGGAAACGGGGCCTGTGCAGGCTCAGCGATGGAAAAGAAATTCCTCTCTTTACTGGTTCCCAAAACAGTGTGCACTATGTTCCAGGTGCTGGGGTTATGGAGATAAAATTCATTCCCTATCTGGGAGGAAATGGAGATATATAAATAGGTAATTAAAACATAAAGAGACAAGCTGGGTGTGGTGGCACATGCCTTTAATCCCAGCACTTGGGAGGCAGAGGCAGGTGGATCTCTCTGAGTTCAAGGCCAGCCTGGTCTACGTAGTGAGTTCCAGGCCAGCTGGGGCTACAGGGAGACCCTGTCTCAAAAAGACAAAAAAGCCCCCCAAAACAAAAAAAACAAACCAAAAAAACCATAAAGAGACATTGTTAAAATAGAGTTTTGCTTCCTAAATCAAAGCCAAATTTATAAAAACACCCTATATTACCTGGTCACATGGCCCACAGGTGAGTACGCACAGGGTGTCAGCAAGAGGTGAGGGCAGAACTTTCCTTTGAGTAAAATGCTCAAAGTGTTGCTATAATAACCACAATCTTATTTAAAATTCCAATAATGTTTATGTGTAAACCAAACTCAGATGTTCATATCCGTGCTTCAGTAAAGAGTTACAAGCTATATTTCCTTGGCTCGCAGGCACATTTAATCTCTGAGAATGATGTTCCTCCCTAGTAGGCTTACTGGGTCCCAAGTTCTCAGATCCTCCTAGTGTAGTCCATATGAAATTCTCACCATAATATCAATCAGAATTCTTTGTTACAAGTGACAGAAATCCTGTGAAATTGAGTTTAAACAGGAAACGTCCTAACTTGGTTCATGTGACTAGATTGTCCAAGGAACAGAGTCCTGACTTAGATCTAAATTCAGAGGCTCAGGTGCTATATTCAAAGCTCATTTCTCTGCCCACTCCTTACTCTGTCTCTCTTCAATCTTCTTCATCGTTACCTTTTTACTCTGTAACTTCTTTCTGTAGGTAAACTCTAGAGAGCAGATCTCAGGTTCACAAACACCAGTGTGGCAACTCCACTCAAGAAGAGAATTCTCCCAGTGTTCCTACATAAATCCTAGGGAATATTACACTGGTATTTCCTGGTTCATCCTTCAACCAATCCCATGACCAGGCAAGCCCAGGATTGGCTTATCAAATCAGACCTACAAAATCGGAGCTAGCCTCAGACTTCACTAATCATTTCAAGAGAACAGGCATTCAAGAGACAAAGACAGGGCAGAGCCAGGTGTGGGACATGGTAGTGGCTTCCAGGCCCTTCCTTTCGATGACCAGGACAATGCACAAGTTTCTACAGAGGTTTTGTATGTTATCTCACAAAGCAAGAACAAGTAACTTATGAAGCGTTCCCATCTCACACCTGCCCCCATGACACCCTCCAGGGCAGACATGTTGCATAAGATGACAGATTCTGGTTCATGTACTAGATACAACCCTTGCCCAAGTAGGGCTTTCTAGTAAAAAAAAAAAAAAAAAAAAAAGTCTCTTAAAAGCCTGGATTGGCTGGACATGGTGGTACATGACTTTAATCCCAGCCCTCAGGAGGGAGAGGCAGGGAGATCTCTGAGTTCAAGGCCAGTCAGAGCTGCATAGTGAGACCCTGTCTCCTCCTCCAAGTCCTCCACTACCTCCCCCGCTTCTTCCTCCAAGTCCTCCACTACCTCCCCACCTCCTCTTCCTCCTCCAAGTCCTCCACTACCTCCTCCCCCCTCCTCTACCTCCTCCAAGTCCTCCACTACCTCCCCCCTCCTCCTCTTCCTCCTCCAGCATCTCCTCATCCTTTTAAAACTATTCTTCCATTTACCTGGGTTTTCAGTTGACAAGAGGATTAGACCAGGCTGCCTGCTTTCTTTACTTTTCCATAATGGTGTCTTTCTGGGAAAGAAAGTAAATATCGAGTGCTTTCTTCTTCCTAACCAGGGACAGGAATCCCAAGCTGTGCTGGAGCTGAGGAAGTGTGCTCCAGAAGCGCCTGGAGTAGGCCGGTGAAGTGCACTGCTCTGACAGACTCTGAGCACGCTGCTCCCCAACAGCCAGGAAACAGCAGGGTCCTGGGTTCGAGGTGCTACACATTTTCTCTTCAGTTTGTCTGTAAAAGTTCTCCAGCTCTGCTCTGTGGCTCTTGTATCACAAGTGAAACGAATAGTCGGAACAAATTCTGGGGCTAGAGCGTCTTGCTAAGGCCTCCCCAGGAAGATTTTGAGGGAAGAGTAGTCTAAGCAGGGGTTTCCCACCCAATCTCCTGGCCTCACATCCATTTCTCTGCAGAAATCTGAAAATTCTTAATATAGCAACTGAACTTTAACAGGCAGGGAGTGCAAACAACTATCAGCCTGCTCTAATAATACAGCATTTATGTTCGGACTGGACATTGGTTCCTTCAATAGTCCATCAAAGCCCCCCACTCCGTGTCTTACTCAGGCCTACTTCCTTCATTTGTGTCACACTGATGAGTCCATGTGCAGTCAGCACCTGCATCCCACCCTTACTCAGTAATGGAATACCTTTGTCAGCCACTGGGTTTTGTTTCTTTTCTTGTATTGATGGCAAATTTCAATCTTGTTCTAACGATATGATTTTTACCATAAATTCCCGTGTAACTGTGCACTGTTCCAGTTCTTTCCTTTAATGTGTGGTCCAGAAAGCACAACAGACCTGCCGTGACGCCTTGTCCCAGCTCTGCTTTCAGGCACCAGCAGAGCCGGCCTCCTTGACCTAATTAGACTTCTCTACCTCCACATGGCTGGTAAACACTGTAATCAATTTACAAAGGACTTTGACACACTAGCTGGGAAAAAGTTCCCACAAATAATGAAGGGCAGTAGAGAGGCTAGACGTGTGCGTGTGTGAAGTCGGGATCTTATCTACTGGATTTACGAAAAAGTCAGTGATAAAATATCCTAAGAACACACTATTTCACAATTCCCTACAGCACATTTGTTTAAATGTATTTAAATTGGAAAACTGTGTTACCAAACATCCTGAGAGATGTATATTTGGAACATGTGAGTCTTGAGTATCTAAACAGACTCACTCTTCCTAGCCACAGCAATACACTAGTGAACTGTTCTCAAAAGACAGTCAAGGAGGGAAAGGTGGGTGATCCATTGATGGAGGCAGCACTGACTTATTTAAGAGCCATAACTGGCAAGACTTGAAGATGGCTCCTAAGATTTCCAACCCAATGTGTCACACTCTCCTCGAGTATAACAAGCCCCGCCCCCGCCCCCTTCTGTTAGGTTGGGTTTTACAGCGCACGTGGTGGAATCCTCTATTACATGGAGAAGACTGGTGACCAGGCCATTGTAAGCAGCTGTAGCAGCAGTAGCAGCAGAACAGGCAGCAGCTCTCCTGTTGGCTTGGGAGCAATCAGCTCCGTGGTTTCCGAGGGCCACGTGATGCAGGGCTCAGGTCTGTCTCTAGGAGCTGCAAGAGTATCTGAAAAGGAAATTCTGACCTCAAAACCAAAGAACTGAATTCTGTAATACCAAACCCTGAGTAAACTTGGAAGAAGACCCAGACTTCAGCTGAGCCTGCAGCCGTAGTCCACACCGTGACAGCTGCCTGGAGAGACAGAGCAGAGGCACCACCTAAGCCATCTGCAGATTTCCCAACCCCCCAGGCTGAGAAGCGTCTGAGGCTGCTAACTTTGTGCTGATTTGTCACACTCACTCACACACACACACACACACACACACACACACACAGACTACATCATGACCTTGAATACACAGCATAACTTACTGGATCTGTGGTGGACAAGGAGCCAAACTAGGGCAACTGGAACCTTTGGGAATTTTAAGTTAAGGCTCAGATACTCCACTCAGGAGTCTACTGAATGACAAAGAAGTAAGAGCCCTGCTAGTGGTCCTGCCTCTGGCAATACTGGGAGGTACCCCAAGCCCCGAGGAGATATTTGGAGAACATGGCTAGGCGGGAGCTTTCCACAGCAACAATTTGATAATAAGAGTAATTACAAATCATGGCCCATTTGAGGTGTAGTAATTTACTGTAAATACTTAAAGGAAAAGCACTAACACAGCTCTTTATTGTTCGATCAGTGCACATGAAACTTTTCCCAGCTCCCATGAGCTGTCTGTCTGTGGTTTTCAAAGACACCATTCCTGGCTGACCTCACACATCCCGCTGCAGGGAGTGATGGTGACGCTGCTATCCACGGGGACACATGCTCTGGAGTGTTAATTGAAACCGTATAGGTTTTTTTCCTCTCAAATTCCCTATCGTCATTTATTCAGTGACGATTATATCATGACTCACATCACTACGACCACCATTGTGGGCCTGTGAGCACTGGCTTCCAATGACTCACAAACTGTTATCACTGCGTTTTGTGGATGAGGATCACAAACCCAGGTATTACCCAGAAAATGCATGAGAATGTACACAATGCTTTGATTTACGATCGTTAAATTTCTTTTTGGAATTTTGTGCCATTCATACATAGAATGGATAGCATTCATAAAACAACACATCTCCTTCTGACCCGTGGGCCTTAATTACAGCAGCTCTTGATGCTGTCTGGAATCCTGTCCCCCTACCTCCCCCAGCTACCAGCAGTAAAGGCAGGTGGGGGACCCTGAGCAGACCCAGACAGCATTCTTACCTGGGCAAGCAATCAAGTCTATCTTGAACAAGACTTACAACCACTGAGGGAAGAAGAATGATGCTATGTTGATTAAAAACAAAAGACATGGACTAAAAGGGCATGCTGGTTAGGCACTGGGCAGTCAGGAAAAACACGGAGACAAGAGCAGCCATAACAAAAGCTGCCTGATACACCACATAGTGTTTGCAGAGGAGTGATGTGAGAGCCCTGGGTGCTCATACTAGAGGAGGAATGGCAGATCCCAGAGTCAAGGACCCTACAACTCCCTATGAAGCCTCTCTCAAAGGTTCAGAGACGCATGGTCTCAACACAAAAAGGGCCCACACAGTCTCACAAAGGTACTTCAGCACCAAGATTAGCAGTGTACACTGTGCAGTCCAGAACCCTGAATTCATCTTAGGTTAGCAAAATCACCTTTAAGTCAGTCCATCAGCACCGTCTCAGTGGTCTGAACTTCTACAACTCCATAAAAGAAATACTGCCACTGTCACCGGGAACTTTGGCTAGTGAAACCTCCCTCCAGGGACTAGAATGGCCATGTACCCCTACATCATCTCACACAGCCAGTCCCAGAGCTCCTGTCTGTGGACACATGATGGTCCCACGTTAGAAAGAGCAGTACAACTCTGAGACCTTAAGGAGGACAGGGACGGAGGTCAAGGGTTGGTGTCCCACCTCTGACACCAAAGGGCAACAGAACACCACAGGGCTTCTACCATCTACAACCCACAGGACGGAGTTTGGAGTGGCCCAACACAGCAAAGAGACTTAGGTTTCTACGAGGAAGTTTTCCAAGGCATACCTGGGACCAGGGCCAGGTTAAGAGCCTGCCTGCTCAGAGCTAAGAATGGTATTGATTCTGACTGTCCTGTGAACTAAAGGAAGGATTTGGTGATAGAAGAGAATGATGTGGACTCTGGGCAGTCAAGAGATGGAGAAAGTGCACTGGTAAGGAACAGGGCAGCTTCTGGTAGCCTCTTTCTGCAGCTGAGTTGTACTCCAGCTAGCATTCCATCAAGCATCTCTTTATAATGTACCCCTCCCCCCTAAAACACACTCCTTTCCTGGTTTTTTTGGGGGAGGGGGTTGTTTTTTTGTTTTGTTTTGTTTTGTTTTTTTGGTGGGAGGGCTTAAACCATATTATTTTGATGTTGGTTGTTTCCAAGTAGAGAAAGCCCTAATACAATAGAATTTTGCACATGTAAGTTCAGAAACTCACCTTCCACATGTCTAGCAGAACTAACTAACCACTTGGGGACCAAGATATGCTTATCAGCATGATAATTTGTCAATCCATAAAGATAACTTCATCTTTAAGAGTAACTTGGGTAGTGATTCACCGAGTGTGTTTCACCAAGCTGAGTTAGGTGTACTCAAGACATGAGAAAGCACCAACCAGGTGAATTTCGAGGATTGTTTTGTGCATGTATAATCAGAATTAAAAACAGAATGGGTGGTTGGAATTTTCTTCCAAGTTAACATAGTTGAAGGAATTCATTTTCTACTCTAGGAATAGTCCTCTTTGAAAGATCAGTCATAATTCTTGAACTTACCTGCTGAGGTCATTCCCAGACATTCTTAACATGTGTTCAGATTATTCCAGACTCACTGTGTAGAATTTTCTGTTGGCATGTGATTCTCAAAGCTCTACCAACCTCAGTTACTCTCATTGTCCAGCAGCTACACACATTGCTAGCTCTGCTGGTGGCCACCCCTCGTCCCCCCATGTCACTGTCTCCCCCCACTCCTCGTCCCCCCATGTCACTGTCTCCCCCCACTCCTCACCTGTCATGTAAGCACTAGACTAATTCTGCTATTCAATTTCACATAGATGGAATCATCTAGAATGAGCCATACTGTGTCTGGATTTCTCAGTTCAAAACTGTGCTTGTGATACCTGTGCTGTTCTGGAGACAATACCTGACTCTAACTTACTGTGTTCTATGGAGTGTCTCTACAACAATTCATTTTTTTCAGGCTCCCATTGAGAAACAGTTGGGAAGCTTCCACCTGGAATCATCATGAATGATGCAGCTATGAATACTGTTACACACATCTTCAATGGGCATATTTGCACTGCTTAGGGAATTCGCTGGGGAGAGGAGTTTCAGGGTCAGGATGGATGCATATGTTCAGATTTAATAGATTCTGACAAATAGTTCCCAGAGGAAAAATGAACTTTGACTTGTGATGGGGTTACATCATTAGGTTTAAAACACCATATGACAAATCTATTTTAAGTTGAAAATGCATTAAATAAACCTAACTTACTGAGCATCATAGCTTAACAACACTGTACACTGCAACCCTTTACCCTCAGGACAGCTCACTGCTATTACCCAGAATCACAAGCACACCTAAGATCCCTAGATTAAGAAAAGGCTGCAATTCAAACTGTGAAGCCTACCAGGTATCCCATTTACCATGACAAAATCCAAGCAGCACAAGTCAGATCATGTGACACATTGCCAGCAGTGCACTAGGATTCCAGTAACTGTGTTCTCCAACTCTATGCATTTGATGACTGTGTAGCAACTCTGTGTTACGGTTTTAAATTACACTTCCCGGAAGGATGTAGGGCCAGAAGGATGCAGTAAACAATCTGTAACCTCTCTCCCATTGATAACGAGGAAAACTCAGGATAAAACATGCAAAGCCCTCGACTGTGAGCACTGAGAAGGAAATAAAGACAGGCAAGTTGCAGCAGAGAATCACAACTTGGTGGCTGGTTTTGTCATGACTTTTTCTTGTGGCTCTTACTGAGGCAGAGCAGCTAGCGAATCTACCACAGCAGCACCAGCAGCAGTACCTGAGGGGGCAGCTTTTTTTTTTTGGTCTTTTTGAGACAAAGTCTCCCTGTAGCCCCAGCTGGCCTGGAACTTGATATGTAAACCAGGTTAGCCTCCACCTCATAGAGATTTCCCCGCCTCTGCCTCCAGTGCTCAAGTTAAAGGCCTGCATCACCACACAAACAACAAAAATTGAGTTTTATAAGATGAAAACCTTCTTCTTTGTCTCTAGCCAGACGAATCTGAGAAAGATCCATTAGTGAGCTGTGAGTTAGAAGTTTACCAGGATTTAACTTTTTTCAGCTTTTTACCCAAAGGTGAGTGTTTGGGAGAGACTGTATTTCTAGATCAGGCTCAGTATAGTCTGTGGTTTTAATGGATAGAGAAAATCTCACAGTCCTCTTTCTCTCACTACTTCACCCCAGGTTAGAGCCAAGCCAACTGCTGTAGCTATGACTAGCACTTACACTCCAAGGGAAACCTCTGATTTCTCAAAAAACGACCAACAAAAGGGGACTCTAAAAGATAGAGTATGTCAGGGGAATCTAAAGAAAGAAACAGAGAAGGGATCCTCTGTGTATGAACCCACCCAAGTTCTTTAATCACACCTGAACTGAGCATGTGCAAACCAGAGGCGAGCAGCCCAAGAAACAAGCCACAAAATCTACAATTGATACTATTGCTAAGGCACCAAATAATTCAAGGGTTTATGTACAGGACAGACTCAAACCAGCACAGGACATACTTGGGAACCAGTCAGTACTCACATGCCAGACTGAACGTGTGATACCAACCAAAGGACTGCTTACTAAAACAACATTTAAAGCACCAACATTACCCAAGGGGTTCTTTTACGTTCCATAATAAAACTTTATAAAATGTCCAGGATAAAAATAAATTATTGTACAAAATAAAATAGCTGGAAAAATGTGAGCTCTCAAGGAAAATTCAACAAACAGCTCCCAACTGAGATGACTAAGGTATTCATTATCAAAGGGGCTAACATACTAAAGCCAAAACACTGCTCAGCAATTTTTCTCCTAGATATAAACCATATTCTAGAAAACCACTTGCCTGTAAATGCCACGAGGGGCTGGAGAGAGGGCTCAGCGGTTGAGGGCAGGCTGCTCTTGCAGAGGACCTGAGTTCAATTCCCAGCACCTGCATGGTGGCCCACAACCATCCATAACTCCAGTTCCAGGGAATCTGATGCTCTCTTCTGACCTCTGCAGGGACTGCACACCAGGGGTGCACTTAACACACATACAGGCAATACACTCATACACATAAAAATAATATTTAAAGAAAATAAAAAGCGGGCTTTGTGGCACAGGCCTTTAGTCCCAGCACTTGGGAGGCAGAGGCGTGCAGATCTCTGGAGTTCCAGGCCAGCTGGAGCTACAGGGAGACCCTGTCTCCAAAAGACAAAAATAGAAAAAGAAAATGCCCTGGAGGGATAGACTTCACAAGCAAGGCCTATTACAAGCGTATAGAAATGAAACAAAGGATTGGGGCTGTGTGCAGCCGCTGACAGCGCCCAGGTCCTAACAACCCCTTGTGACAATACACACCTGTACTTCTCATACAGAAAACTGAGTACACAGGTACAGACACTGTTTCTGCGGTGTTTTAAAAAGCAAAGGAATAAACTCGAGGTAAGGGTCAATGTTCTACGTGGGAAAAGGCAGGGGCTGGGAACTGGAGAGACGGTGTGGACCACGTCCTTCCTAAGACCTGGGGTCTCCGTGTGCGGTGCTTATCCGGAACGCATACTGACATGGAGAAAGTCCGTTTTCAAGCACCCCACGGGCGCGCTCTTCCCTCTTTCCTGGGCCCTCTTCTCGGAAGCACTAACCACCCTGCTGCGCCCGGAGCTCCCGGCCAGCTCAGGCCAACGGTGAGGCCGCGGGTGGAAAACCAAAACCCAGAGAGACTGACAGACGCCTGCTGTGGGGCGGCCTGCCCCTAGTACGGAGGCCGGGCGGCCCGGAAGGCGGGGCCAGCCTGCGCTACGCGGCGACCTCCAGGCCGCGCGGCCTTGGTGTGAGACTGTCAGAACGTCAGCCGCTGCCCTGAGTCAACCCTCCGACGGCCCACCTGATCACGCCCACCGCGCCCTCGGCAACGCGCATGCCCGAGCCCGCACGGCCACTTCCGCCTCCGCCACTCCGCTCATTTCCGGCCGCGCGCCCCCGCCCCCGCCCCGGAAGCGGAAGTGGCGGCTCTGGGGGCCTCCGATCTGCAGGACACAGCGGGGCCGGCGGCGCCATGACGGCGACCGGGCCGGGCTGTCCGGGCGGCGCCTGTGCTGACGCGCGCTGAGGCGGCGGCGCTCCTGCGGGCG